ATTCTTAGGTTGTATTGCTGTTGAATGTTGTATACAATTTTTGTGTTGTTATCTAGAAGGTCCCTAGTTATTGGGGTGTTGTGGAAAGTTTCTAGATGGTTTTTTATTGCACCGTCTCTTTTGTGTATAGTGAGTCTACGCGATATTGTTGTAGTAGTAGTCATCCCGATATAGGAAGTTTGAAGACGCGCACGTCGTCAAGAGGACTAGAAAATTTATATATGAGATGACTACGTTTCAAAAGTGAAGTGCTGTGGGGTAGGCAATTATTCAAAATTTAAAGGTTAGATGTTTTGTAGTTTTTGTAAACGATTCCTAATTTTATTCTATCGTTCTAGTTAGTTGGTATAATATTACTATGGATTATCTTCTTCATGATTTCTTCATCAGTTTTGTAGGACGAAGACATTAAATTTCGATAATATGGTATAATGGTGTTATTATATTATTATTGTTGATGTTGTTTGTGTCAATGGCATTATCGTTGTTATTATTGTTTTTAGTGTCATCACAATTTTTGTTATTGCAGATGTTAATATTATTATCGTTGTTGTTGTTACTGTTAATATAATTGCCGTTGTTGTTATGGCTGTTGATGTAATTACCGTAGCTGTTATTGTTATTAATGTAATTACCGTTGTTATTTTTATTGCTTTTATGGTTATTGTTGATAATGGAGACAATATTATTATTATTATTGTAGTTTTGGTTCATACGTTGTAACTTTTTATTGATGACATTCTTAATAAAATCTGCGCTGTAATTATTATTTATAAGATGATTTGTGACACTTTTGATTTCTGATGAGACGTCGTCTTGGTATGGAGTGTGTGAAGGCGCGATTGATGAATGATCTTACCGTACTCAATTTATATTCATCCGTACATTCACTACTTCCGTTTAAACATATTCCTTTATTAGTACCTTTAATGTAGACGAAGGTTTGAAAGTTGTGTTCGTTGCGAATGACAAGAACGTAGAGAAAGGAGAGTTTTTTATCACTTTCATATTTAATGGTAAATTTTAATTTGGATTTATTGAATATTTTTAATCAATTGTCGATTAGATTAGGATCGTTATAAGATACAAAAACATCATCAACATATCTTGTGCAGATTTTGAGTATAAGTTCAGGATGTTGGTTGAAGGTTACTTGCTCTAGATTACAAAGATAAAAATTAGCAAAGAGAACACCTAAAGGGGATCCCATGGCAATTCCATCAATCTGTTTATAAAGTTTACCGGTATGGCTGATGAATGGTGCTTTTGTTGTACAAATTTCTAATAACTGTTTCAGGTATTTTTTGGAATTTTTAGTCGTGAATATTGTGAATTATAAACTGTTTTAGTTATAATGTCGATAGTATCTTTGACAGGAACATTTATGAATAGGGATTCGACATCCAGTGATGCGATATGTTCGAATGATGGATTAGTTTTAATATATCAATAAACTCTTTTGATGATTTAAGATTGTAGTTGTCTGGAAAGTATGGTAGAAGTATTTTGGTAAGTATTTTTGCAATTGGATATGTAACAGTTGGTATTTCGCTAATGATTGGTCATAGAGGATTAATGGATTTATGAGTCTAACGCAACCATATAAATAACCAGGTTGGTACTCTCCGGTGAGGATAGGAAATTTGTCATCGTTTAAACATTTATTAATTTGCCGAATTATTTTATTAAGCTTTCATTTTAATGAAAGTGTAGGGTCTGACGTTACTGCATTAAATTTATTTGTATCATTTATTGACGTAATCGTTTTTACTGAGAAATACATAAATTGAAGATTTATCTGCACAGCGAATTACAATATCTTGATTATCTTTTAGTATGTATATATATATATATATAAATATATATATATATACATACATACACACACACACAGTTGTTTAGGAAAATAACAGCTTTTTCAGCGTTACGTAATTTTCTATATAATTTTTCAAATTTTTCATGTTAAAATTCAATTAAAATGTTAATATTCATGTTAATATATATATATATACATATATATATATATACATATATATATATATATATATATATATATATATATATATATATATATATATATATATATATATATATATATATATATATATATATACATATATATATATATATATATATATATATATATATATATATATATATATATATATATATATATATATATATATATATATATATATATATATATATATATATATCTATATATATATATA